AACACATGCAAAATTTGAAAGTCATGCTCCATGTCGTTTTTGAGATATGGCCGTTTGAAATTTGCTGGACTTAGTCATTTTATGCACTCGTGAATCGTGAAAAGTGACATTTTGAATAATTTCGGATTTCAGAATACCATATTTTAGTCTACAGACAAGACAAAGAGCTCAAAGTTGGTATTCTGACTTACTTTTTGCCAAATTTTATGAATCTGCACTCAGATTTAATGTATCATCTTTAGATTTCAAGTTATGATTGCCTAAAGTAGGGTCCAGATTGAGCGATTAAGTTTTTTTTCAATTTTTGGGGTCACCCCGAATGAAAACTAGGGGTAACATGGGCTCCATTCTACTTGAATATAATCTATGGTCACAGGACTACATCCAGAAGTAATAACAATCCAATTAAAGCTTTAAATCAGAAAATACAGAGTCCCAAAATGGGCCCCAGCCAGAAAAATCCTTTAAATGGCTCGAAGTTCGTGACCCCGAATGACCCCGCGATCAGTTGAAATAATTTTTGAAACTCTAACCTGTCAAAGATAGGTATCATAGTAATATGTACACAAAATTTCAGCTTTGCTACTCAACTCCTTCAAGGTACCTTGTCTGTTTGAAATGGAGCCATTTTTCATAAAATTTGACTTCAAGCAATGTGTATAAAGGGAAAAGGATACATTAACATTAATGTCTTTTACTATTTAACTTATAATCAGTCCATAAAAGCCAATTTCTATGGAATACACAAATGGCAAACTTGCGATTTGTTACATTTGCATTCAGTTAGATTCTGTACATTTACATGGATGTCAAGGGTTCGCATCAAATGGTGGCCTGTATGGTTCTTGAGCAAAATTTATTGCGAAGTTGAGAACTCATGACATCGTATTATTATTAAGACCAACTTACTACAAGAAAGTTTTTAAACCATTGATTCTTTGCTGATGATACTCTTAATTTTGAGTCCCAGTTCCTTTACTTAATAAATTCTGAAAGTTTAGTTTTAATCATCTCAAAATCTTCATTTGTAAGTTTGTAGTGGCGACCACCATGACCCATTAGCTGTGAAGCCGAAAAAATGCATATTATGTCTTGCAATGTGGTATCCAGCATTCATTGTATGTGTTTTGTTGCCAAGATACAGTAGAGTGTTGGATGTTCTTGCTCGCTTCATGAACTTGACATACACATCATTCTCCTCATCTGACCGCTCGGTGACCATTCCAATGTACCAATCACTGTCATAAATGCAAGCAATATAACATCTAGGTCAGGGGCGGATTTAGGGGGGGGCCGGCCCGGCCCCGGCCCCCCCTTTTGGGAGGTAAAAAAAGAAAAAAAAAAGGAAAAAAAGAGAGAAAAAGAAAAAAATGATGGCCAAGAATGCCTCAAATGTTATGTTCGGGCGTCTAGAACACAAAAATTTCGCGGGGGCATGCCCCCGGACCCCCTATGACAATGTTGTCTCAATCGGCCCAACTTTCGGCCCCCCTTCCGGCCCCCCCTTTTGGACATTTCTGGATCCGCCCCTGCAGGTTGACATTCATTGGCCACTATTTGATTGCTTACAGTACACCTGCATGGACACTGTTGATGGTAACAACATCACAATGCTGATCACTGGATAATCGTCGCATTTCAATATTTCCATCATCAGTTGGTATGAAGCTGTGGTGTGACCTGGTTCCTGCAATTGTTTTGGAGGATGCAAACCTGTCACTAAGGTTATACTTCTCTGCATTGGCTTGAATGTCATCACTACTAACATATAGAAATTTAATTCCGGTGATGTTCCCATCAGCCCACTCAAACATCTACAGTGGACTGAGAATTTGGTTCTCAACAGTAGCTTGGAGGCTTGCTCTGGCAACCAGCCTTTTTGTGGACCCCCCTAAGCCATCACACGGGCTCTTTCCATGACTGGTTGCGAAGAAATACCATTCAGCATTAAGTCCATGATCAGATGAATGGTGACAGAGATTTGACATATTTTTGTGATTTTTATATTTGCTTGCAGCCCCATCACTGTAATATATGCATTTCCGCAAGCCTGGAATCTGATCCTTGATGTAAGGAATCAAGTGAGAGATGAAAGCATGGACGGCTGTAGTATCATGCTTTCATCATAACAACGCTTATGCACTTCAGTTCTCCTTCCACATTATGATATACTGCAAATGGATACACTGTGGCTTGACTATTATCCCAGTAATAGCCCTGTATAGCATCTTGAATGAGGAAACTGTAGTTTTCAGCAAAATCTAATAAGATGATAGCTGTGTCTGGTTGTAAGGATTGCTTTAATGATTGCAGGTATGAAGACTGTGATTTGGTGATGAAGTGATGGCTACGTAAACAATCAACAGCATTACAAACTGTTTCAATATAATCATGCACTGAAGTTGTGAGGGTAACCAATGCAGTTCTATCAGTATGCATCCATTGCTTGTAAGTTACATTGTCATCCATATCCACTTCATTGGCAGAAAACAAATCTGTTAAGTAAATGCTCAATGCATTCTTACCTGGACAATTTTCAAAACATTGCAACATGCAGTTGCGGTTTTCAGTGTTACACACCAGTTTACTGAGATAATCCTTGTAATCACACTTATCAGGAGAGACTGTCAGAAGTAGTTTCACATTTTGGTGCTGCATACACACACATACAGAATGCATACCTGCAGTCTGCAGACTTTCATAGCGATCGAGATACACTTTATGATGATGGAAACATATGCTATAATCATCAGCCAATGTTAATCCACTTCTCCACTCGAGCAGTTTTTTGTCCTCATCTGATATCTGATTAACTGCAAAGAAGCCAGCATCGCCTCTCACAAAATTTTTCTTATGACAGAAATCATTCAAATTTAAACCAATGCTGCATTTGGATAACTCGGATGATGTTCCCTCCATCGTGATGATCTAAATGTTGATATCTGAAGTATATATTCCAACACTATGCCTAATACAAATGTGTGTATAAAAGTGTGCTGCATCTTTAGACAAGATGTTCCTCTAGCTAACTCTGATAGCTGAAACTGAAATGACTCTTTATTACTTTGCAGTGATATGGACTGGATGAGACATGCAAATAAACCTATTTGAAAAACATATCTGGACATGAGATAACCGTGACATCAATTGAATTGACAATGTCCAGTGTAACAATTAATAAACAATGTTTATCTTGGTATGTGTGGCATGATGTATGGTTTATAACAATTTACTTTCAAGACCCATGTTTAAAATAAAAAATAGTTACCATTGGTGTATGCAAACTTGTATAAAATATTAATGTCAAATTGTTTAATTATTGCATTCATCACTTTATATTGCCATATTATGACTGCAGAAATGCCACATTTAAACCCTGTCACATTACCTTGAAGGAGTTGAGTAGCAAAGCTGAAATTTTGTGTACATATTACTATGATACCTATCTTCGACAGGTTAGAATTTCAAAAATTATTTCAACTGATCGCGGGGTCATCCGGGGTCACGAACGTCGAGCCATTTAAAGGATTTTTCTGACTGGGGCCCATTTTGGGACTCTGTATTTTCTGATTTAAAGCTTTAATGGGATTGTTATTACTTCTGGATGTAGTCCTGTGACCATAGATTATATTCAAGTAGAATGGAGCCCATGTTACCCCTAGTGTTCATTCAGGGTCACCCCAAAATTGAAAAAAAACTTAATCGCTCATTCTGGACCCTACTTTAGGCAATCATAACTTGAAATCTAAAGATGATACTTTAAATCTGAGTGCAGATTCATAAAATTTGGCAAAAAGTAAGTCAGAATACCAACTTTGAGCTCTTTGTCTTGTCCGTAGGCCGAAATATGGCATTCTGAAATCCGAAATTATTCAAAATGTCACTTTTCGCGATTCGCGAGTGCGTAAAATGACTAAGTCCAGCAAATTTCAAACGGCCATATCTCAAAAACGACATGGAGTATGACTTTCAAATTTTGCATGTGTTCATATGAGCAACATATCATCATTCTGAACAAATTTCATTAAAATCTGAGGGGGTCACCTGGGGACCTCTGGTTGATTTGACATGGAATGACCCTCATACTAGGCCTACTTAGTAATAATAGGGTAATAATATCGATAATAAAGGTGACAACAACAACAATAATAATACAGTAATAATAATAATAATAATAATATGAGAAAAATACTAATAAAACGCCAATA